GCTGGCTTTCCAACGGTGCCTCAGACGTCCCTCCAGCGCCAATACTAGTAGAGCTACAGCCTGTTATGGAAGTGGTCTTTACCATGGTGGAGTCCTGGCAGGGTGCTGGCGTAGTGCTGACTTTGATGCCAGTCCTCTCGGGCACGCTACGGACCCAGTAGCCCATACTCTGCGGCCTGATTCTACTCGATGCCAGCTTTCCAACAGTGCTCCAGATATCTACCTGGCGCCAATATCGGTCAAGCTATAGCCTGTTATGAAAGTGGTATTTACCCTGGTAGAGTGCAGACTTTGACACCAGATTCCCCGGGTGCCCTTTGGGCGTAGCATCCCATACTTGGCTACCAGGTTCTACTTGACGCTAGCATTCCAACAGTGCCTCAGACGTCTTCCTGGCAACAATATCCATAGAGCTACAGCCTGTCATGAAAGTGGTATTTACCCTAGCTGAGTACTGATCTTAATATCAGATTACCTAGGCGTCCTTTAGGCCCAACATCTCATACTCAGTGGCCTGATCCTATCATACTCGATGCTAGCTTTCCAACACTACCTCAGACGTCTACTTGGCACCAATCTTGGTAGAGCTACAGCCTATTATAACAGTGGTCTTTACTATGGCGGAGGTCTGACAGGATGCTGCCGCAGTGCTGACTTTGACGCCAGATTCCTCAGGTGCCCTATGGGCGTAGCAGCCCAACCTCAGCTCCCTGGTTGTACTTGATGCTGGCTTTACAATAGTGCATTGATCATCTATCTAGCGCCAATACCTATATTGTTATGATCTGGCATGTAGGGGGTATAGTGCACTAACTCAGGGGCTTGGAGCTTTTCTTTCTGTCTTCTGTATTCTAGACCCAATATAAATACAAATGATCTTCATTTTAACACTTTCACAATATATATAATGTGTGACTTATGTCACAAGGTCCAGTCCTAGCATTGCATCCTGAAAATTTAGTAGTGCTTACTTGCATCCTAAGAAGACCTGCTGTATCAGAAAGTGGTTGCGTCTACAGAATTTAGAAAGTTCTCGGTTGCGTCCCAACTTCTGGAGCCAAGAACCATTGCGTCCTGAGTTGCAGTTTGCATCCTGTGCATCCTGTCCATCAGATGCACAGGACACATCCAATGCAAGCTTTTATTTTTGCTGATGTTATTAGATATTGTGATGTAGATAATATTTAGTACCAAGTAGTAATGAAAAGAATAAGTTCACAATCTAAGATAAAACTGGTTACTCAGAACATAAAATTGATTTCAAATTTTCTCTATGCAGACATGATACACTCTTGTAGTACCTTGATACAAACCCTTACCCTTTAGCAACTGGTAATGTTCACTATTGTTGTCTTCACCTTAGGGCACAAATTCACAAACTAATCAAAGCCCACAGGCCTTATCCCTTACCTTGTTGCCTAATTTCAAGGCACTGTAGCGCTGGTAGGTCTTGGCTGAGAAGGGTACGTGTTTTTTCGGTGGGTGGTGGGCTGTCCTGAAGAATCCTGAGAAAATCTCGTCTCCATCCTGGCCATGCTAATAGGTACTTCAAGGGGGTGTTGGGCTGAGAATGTACAAACCGAGTAACACTCAGCATGGTCATGATCATAGCATCATCCTCTGTGCACATTTAATCACAATTGCCATAGTAGGCTAGTACTTGGTGGTCACGGTCTGGACAAGGGCTGAAGGTCTGCTTAGTGTACCACTACTGTTGGTAACCACCTCCGCTCTGCGGTACTCGTGCCTCCGCGCCAAGAGTTGGCACCTCTTTTGGAATAGCCTCCACGGGGCCGTAGAGAGTGTAGTCTTGAGGCTGCTCTTGTAGCGTGAGGGATTGCACTCTGCGACTGCCGTGCCAGTGGCCACTCCCACTCATTATGTGGCACTGTATTTTGTGTCACCGGTAATAGAGTCTTTGAGATGGCTCAAACGCTAAACTTTTTATGGCTCCGAGGGGACTATTCCAAAAGAGGTGCCAATTCTTGGCTCGGAGGCACGAGTAGAATAGCGCGGGCCGTGATTACGAGGTAAGGGATGGGCCACCACCGGGCCCATGGGCCGGCCTGGCCCATGGCAAGCGTTGCCGCCAAGGCTCTCTCCGCCTTGATCTGTCATTAGGGTTGTCGCTTTGCCAGAACGAGTGCCCTCCTGCACAACACACCTCCCCATCAAAACCCACGTACCATGTCCTCCTCCATACCGGAAAAGGAACACCTTGAGCTCACACCATTCCTCGCAAACCTCCTCTCAGTCATCTATACCTCCAGCTATGTCGGCATTTTGTACCTCAGTCACTTGACAAGGCCCCAGCCAGGCCTCGCTCGTGACGCACCCTTTGTGATCCGCGCACGCATTCGCGCCGTTACGGTCGTGACTATTATGGTGCTCATCAATTCGGCCCCCGTCGCTTACTTCTGCTCGCCGCACAAAACCTATTTAGACATTGCCGCATTCCTGGGGCTCTACGTGAAATTGCCGCTAACACTCGATCTACTACGGTGTTTACTCCTCACGGCGGTTCTATTCCTAGGGCCTCTGGTTCGGCGGTTATGGCTTGACCATGGTTGGCGAGAGCTACGAGGCGACGTGGGCAAAGTGTTCACCACATGGATCGGTTGGAGGAATTATGTTGCTGTATGTTGGCACGAAATCCCTCCTCCATGTTGCTATCTTCCCCCATTCATCCTATTCTGCTCTAAATCCTGGGGTGGGAGGAGGGAAGTGTGCGAAGGGAAAGAAAGAGACCTCATAATCGCTGTTTCTTTTCTGAGAATACGTACATGCTTCCAAACTCGAGTTGTTTCAAGTTCCGTGTCGGAACTAAATATCCTCACGAATCGAAGAATTAGCCTTGGAAATATATTAAGGAAATGCAGAAACCCTAGCCGCTGACTTTATTTTTACTTTCGAACTCGTCGCCATTCTAGGGACCATTTACTGAAGAGATTGTTTTCCGAGCCTCTGTGGTACCATTGCACCTTCTTGCCGGGAGATCGCCGGGCACAATAGTTTTTCTATGCCCACTGTTTTTCGGAATCGGTAGGCTCTCCATTTCATTCCTTTGGTTCTAGGTGTCCCATTTTTATTTTTGTTTTTATTTTCCATCATTATTCAGCTTTTTTCCCGCCCACCCGCTGCTCGCCTCAAGAAAACCTTATTTTCTGCCATCTAGATATCCGGGTCAAGTTATCTTGATACCGTCCCGGAACAGGCCGTTATTTGCCTAACGCCCAGTTATCCGCTACCATCTTCTGACCGTTTTACCACTATAGCGCACATCCACCATGCGTATGAATTCTACATTAACAATCCGAACAGAGTGGTCGTGATGATCATTCGCTCGCTATTCCAGTTCACTTACACCACGCTTTTCGGCTGGTTCGCAACCTTCGTGTTTCTGCGAACAGGCTCCGTGTGGACTTCCATCGCTGTGCATTCCTTCTGCAACTTTATGGGGCTTCCGGATTTTGGCCGCGTTGAGGGGCCTAAGTGGAGGTCGGCGGTTTATTTTGTGCTTTTGGTTGCGGGTGCGTTTGGCTTTTATCGGCTTTTATGGCCCTTGACGGAATCTCAGCATGCGTTAGCGAGGTTTTGAGGTAGAGAGAGCAAATTGTAGGGCTTTTTTTTCTTTTTTCCCCGCTATCATATCATCTCCAAATGCCTATGCCGTGTTCTGCTAGGAATAGACCGGGGAACATTTTCATTGTGTTTGGGTACTGTAATTTCGCCCCTCTGCTGTATGCCCGTATTAAATCTTGTGACCGCAAAGGCCGCGAACAACATATATCACAGCAATCAGACACAAAATTTACGGAGGCACTCACCACGCAACCACAATCCAAAACACAGGCCACATTTACCAACCATGCCAAACAGACTGAGCACAAAAAGGTTAACATGGAGAATTTGTCTTAGGAAAACTGCGTTCTGCTTTAAAAGTAACATACCGATTATGCCCCTAGTTTTCCGTCTTCAGTTTTTTTCTTTCCCTTAATTCAGAGTACGAGGCTGGCGCCAAAAATGATGAGTAGTAGCAACAAAAACAACACTTAGAATTCGGATACAGAATACTCGGCAGGCAATATCTCGACCACAAAGAAAACAAATTGGATGAACATAAACTAAATATTACAATGAAAATTGACTTTAAAGAAAACATGATTAAAATTGTGTTTGCATGCCTCTTTGTTGTTTGACCTGTCTGAGCCGATCGGGCATACTGTCAATATACCCATTCCAGTCTTCTGGTTCCAGATTCTCCCACTCCTCTTCCACAGCCTCACGCATTTCCTGAATGGTTCCTGGAAAGCTATCGCGTGCCTTGATGCGTTGCTTCATCAAGCGCCAGACGTTTTCGAAGGGGTTGAGGTCAGGAGATGCAGCCGGTCGGGGATGCAATGGTATGCCTAACTTGGCCTTGACTCCAACCAAGGCACGGCGGGTCCCATGGACAGGTGCTCCGTCTTCGACATATTGGGAGGCAGGAGATACTGAGTAACTAAACAAGCCATGGAAAGCAGGGGAGACAATGAGTTCCAGGACCTGTTGTTGATAGTCCTTTATAACCAGACCTTTTTTTCCACTACCGACAAGAAAAACAAGGGGAGACTTCCAATTATGGCTGATAGCTGCCCAAACATGAACAGAGCTCCTGCCACTATGAAAAGTATGTTGTAGACAATGATCATGGTAGCCTTTGTGCGGTAAACGGGTAACCCAAGTAGATACTCGTTTTGATGTATCGAAGAAACACTCATCTGAGTACATGAGTTTTCTCCAAAAGTCAACTGGTTTTTGCCAGTGCTCACAGCCGTACCTCATTCGTTCACGCTGATTCTGTCGATTGATAGAAGGCTTTTTGCAGGCTTTACAGCATGAATAACCATAGCGCGAAAGGGCTCTCTGAATTGTCTGTCCCGATACTGACAGCCCAACTTCCTGACCAAGCCGTCTCCAGCACAACTTTCTCCCTTCCCATCTGCTTCGAAGCCGACCAATCAACTGACGAATATCGTGTTTGTCCAAGCGGCACGGGCGCTCAGGTCGTGATCTTGTCCGTCTAAACCTTGGTGTACGACTCCATCGTGAAACCATCGCACATGGGACATTGGTTTCATGGGCCACCTCTGACTGTGATAATCCTGTCTCTAATAGAGTAATTGGGCGAAGCCCAATCATATAGTTTCTCACCCTCTCTGATTCTCCGGTTTGTGGTCATAGGGTTACCGTAATAGTGAAAGGTGGTTAAAAAAAAGGCAAAATGCACTGTCACATGACCAGTGGATTTAGTCAGCACTATCCAGAAACTAGTGCTACCCTATCTTTCCTAGAGATTTATATTATTACCATAAGGTCAGTAAAATAGAGTATTATAATTAGGGAAACAATATGTGAAATTTAATAACATGTATAATTCCTTTTGTTTGTAATTCTTTATTTTTTGAAGTTCAATTTGTTTCTCCATTTCTATATCGATTTAACCACTTACTTTTTTAATACTAACTTAAACTTAATAGTATAATCAGTTATTATGAATACTGAGGACCAGGCGCCAGTACAGCATATATGCAGTGGCTGTAGACGAACAAGGACGAGCAGTCAAATGGGTCGATTTCGTACCTGTGTGGAGTGTCGTACAAGGAGACAGAATTTAAGGCTGCAGGCAAGGGTGTGTTATTTAACTACTAGTGTGATTTAGTTTAGAGGTAAAATATAAGAGTATTAATAAATGGAAATAACAGAATCGGATTTCAAATGGCACAGAATCAATTGGTGTAATAGCTATGCCCAATACTACCAGTATGGATAACTATCATAACTCTACTCATCTTCCCCTTGAAAGGTTACCACTACAGGAACCTGTAAGATATCCTACATCTTCTAACTTACTATTACTTAGATGCGATAATCAGTCTCAAATTGAGCAACTGCCATCTCAAGAAAATCAGGTCCCAGTAGACTCAGACTGGGGCCATTCTCTAAGTCAGAGTGAGAGTCAAAATGGCAGAATTACAAATCAGATGCCTATAGATACACATACTGAATTGTTAAACAAATTTGCAAAAATTGGAGAAGTTATTAGACTCAATACCTGTGGGGTTTGTAATGAAAGTCAACTTAATATGACTATTCATAGGTATTTCATATTTGATTCCATAAAGAATATAGTTTCTAACTTTTGGTATAGAGAATTAGAGAAAAATATTTGCACCCGGTGTTTCCAACAACTACAAAATCCAGAACGTTATCGCAATATTGCTATGTTTAGCAAAGAGAATGATATGGATCCTGGAGAGATACCTAATGAACTACGAAATTATGGAGACTTATCACCGATTGAATCTATGCTATTAGCCAGAGTCCATCCACTAGTTAAGATTTACCGTATTCGTTGAGATTAGTGGAAGATAGGCACAGCTCATGTTATTAATTTCTTCCAGGATGTTACAATTCCTCTCAACTCTATCCCGCGGTTGCCAATGGAGGTTCCACTTGCAATTGTTCGAAGAAGTCATTGTCAATTACCCTTATATAAGGACTTTCAGGTGTCTATTCCAAGACTTAGAGCTTGGATATACTTTCTCAAGGTCTATAACCGCTATTACCGAGATATTGTTATTAATGAAAATGCCTTATCTCAAATATCTGAGACTCTACAGGATGGTAGTATCCAGTCTTCATATTATTCTAATATTGGCAATCATCTTTTTGATGATGCAGTAAATATGGAGGAAAATATAAACCCAGATTCTATAGAAGAAGCAATAATTCCGGAATCAGCGCTTCCAAGATTAGAAGCATCAACCAATGAACTAGAAACATTAAGAAAAATGCTATTGGCCCGATCTGGAACTCAATTTACTCCAGAATTGGATGAAAGTTTATATCCTGAAAGGCCAGTAATATGGCAAGATGAAAACCGACAACTATCAAGAGATAATGAATATGAACCAACTCAGTTGCTTCAAAATAGAGCCAATATTATTAATTATCCAATGATTGGGAAAGTAGCTCTTAATGAGTATACAGAAGAGGGATATATTGCTCAAGCCTTTCCAAATCTACTTCTATTTGGAACTGCAGATCTTCGTGATCAGCGCAATCGCCAGCATCCAGTAAATCCAGCTGAGTACTTTCGCCATCTGCTCTATTATAAAGATGGTCGCTTTGGAAAGGATCCACGATTTATCTTTCTTGCACTTAATACTAGATGGAGATGGATGATGAATGAGGTTAGTCTTTAAATTATACTTATCAATAAAATAAATAAAATTGCTAACTTTGATTTTTTTAAATAAGGTTGCAATAATTTATGTCAAGAAGTCTGGAACAGAACATCTCACAGTAGGTGATATTAGAGCTGAGGTCGAAGCTGGAGAAAGTAATCTAGCAAGTAGATTAACTAGATGGTCTAATAAGGTTCCTGGCCTAGCACCCTTTTGGCATACTCAGCGAAGTAATCTCTTAGCCATCTGTTTGCAATACAGATCTCCAACTATGTTCTGTACCTTTTCAGCAGCTGATCTACAATGGCCTGTTTTATATGACCTGATTGAACAACAGAGATCATTGGCAACTGGAGAACCTATACCAGACTATACACAACTTCCATCAGGAGTTGCTTCATCTCATCGACATTATAATCTCTGTAACTATCCACATATAGTTGCATCATTTTTATATGAGTGATTTAAATATTTTCAAACAGTGGTGATACAAGGACAAAGAAAATAAAAAATTAAAGAGGAATGGTGGCGATTTGAGTGGCAACACCGTGGTTCTGGTCACGTCCATGGATTTCTATGGCTTGAAGATGCTCCCAAAATCGAAAGTCTAGATCTAAGAGATTCAGCAGTACGTCGACAGTTAGAAATCTACTTTGATGATGATAAGGTCTTAGTTGATATTCCTATTAAAAATCTTCCTCCAACAAGTATTATGCCATGCAGTATCACACTACCAGCAGAAATGAATCAGGCAGGAATTCAAAAAGATCTTTCTGAACTCAGTAACCGTGTTCAAGAACATAGGTGTGGAAGATACTGTCTTCGTAACTATACAAATTCAGAAACTGGACAGATTATAAGGAAATGTCGATTTGAATACCCCAAGGAAATACAGGCAAGAACTGAGATCCAAGTTCACTATATTACTCAATCCAATAGAAGTCAGCAACCTAAGTTTACCTTCCAACCACGGCGGCCAGCAGGTTACTCATATACTAATCGGTTTACACCTCATTTTCTGCAAAGCTGGCTGTCACAAACTGTGACTAAGCAAGGCAGATTTCACATAGCTCGTATTTCCGAGTTATAGGTATGTTGGGATTTCACATGATGCACACTAGTGCGCCATAGGTTATTATGTTTACCTGTTCGTGACTCACAGTTGTGAGTCACACGATGTTATGATTTTCGCACATGACTCACATTTGTGAGTCATGGGTTTCACTCAGGTGACGCGAGTTGCGCACTTGACTTGGTTATTATGGTTTTGATTGGCTTAGGCATGTTGCGTAGCGACTCATAGGAGTCGGCTGATGGATTTCGCATGACTCATAGTTATGAGTTAAAAAGTTCGCGTGATGCATAAGTATGAGTCACGCCAGGTGAAGAGCTACTATATAAAGGGTCACTAGGACCCCTAGTATTAGCTCTTCACACGTTCTTCTTGTTTATTTCCTACCTTTAAGTTATTATCAATAAAACCTACCTTTACGCTCTTTAAGATTTATCTTAAGAAACCCGAGAAGTGTCTTTCCTCTCAGGAGAAGAGATTAAGTCCTAAGTGAGGACTAACAGGAAGAATATAAAGATAGGCGCGAATACGATAGTAGTCAAAGGACTGGACTATCGGAATCGCGTAGGCATAGGCCTGAGAACTATCACCGTGCAAGAGAAGTATCGTTACCTGTTGCTAGATCCTACCCGGTAGGATTCTTAACATTAGAACGTGTCTTCAACGCAACACTTAACGATTACACAACGGATCCATTCAACAGAGA